CAAACAATCATACTCATGAATACAAATGTTTGTGCCGTGCGAGGAATCGAACCCGCGACCATCGGACGTAAAGCGATGTGCTAGACCGCTAGACCACCGAGGTCGTCATCAAATTAAATAAACACATGGCGAATTGACAACAATTTGCAGATTTTGCCAAGCAGAAGAGGAAACATAGCCCATACAACCATATAGGATGTAGGTGTTTATGCATGAGTCCCACTCATGCACAAACGAAATATCTTAAAATTTAAATTATTAACCGGGTCCAAACACGAATAATTTTATGGCAAATAAAGGTATTTACCTCTCTCGACGTTTCGACTACGTTGCACTGGCCGTGGTCACGAGCTGACTGGAGTAACAGCGATGTCAATGTACATAGGTGACAGCAGTTTTTTCATCTACCGTCACTAGATTGTTCAACGAAAGTTCGCGGCACACAGCTCTCACGGTATCCGTACACTTAGACCTGATTGTGAAAAAGGGCGAGCACAATAGATCTACGTACGTCGCAGTGCTATAGGTGCTACAAACATCTGACAATAGCCTGAACAACCCAATAAAAAAAATAGACCCGGTTAATAATTTAAATAATGTATATTAAACATGAAAGTTTAAAAATAACAAAATATCTCCTTTGGAAAGTATCCTAGAGTTCCTAAGAATATCCTTCAATTCTTGTCCCTAACGGGTCTTAAAGTGATTAAAAAGTTTATTTCCATAAATAATTTTATATTCTATTCTACTGAAAGGAATAAAGAATTCTGAAGATCACACAATAAGGTGTTGTTTTTATTGACGGCCTTGGTAGTCAAATGGTTTGGTACACTGCTTAGCTGCCGATGGTCGTGGATTCGATTCCTTCCACGTTGCAAACATTTGTGTGCATGAGTATGATTGTTTACATCATTAAGGGTGTTTTTTATGTAATGTATGAATATTATTTAAAAAAATGTATCTAAGTATTTATATATATTTTCTAGTACCCATAACACAAGCTCTTAGCTTGAGACTAGATGGCGTTGTATGATTTGTCCAGATTTATTATTAACAATACTGTGTACTCCCACTTAAAACGTACTATAGAAACTAGACTATTTATATACCTACCTACATAAATCTATTTAAAAATATATTCAGAATCGAACCCGCGACCTTCAGAAAGTAAAGCGGAGTGTTCATCCGCTAAACCATCGAATCCTGTTATTTCGTCATCATTTTTATTAATTTATATATACGTTTCACACACGCAGTCTGAGTGAATTGAAATGACCAATCACTGACCAGTTTCTTGACTGGTCGTACTATACCAATCGTAACAGCAGTCGGCTGATCACGCAATTTTCGTGATCAGAACTCTTGTCTCTCGATTCGATGGGAACGGCGGTTGCAACGTAGCTAAGTGTTATAAAACCATCATCATTCCTCAAGATGTCAAACCTGAAGTGGACAGCAGATCCGAAGTGGAAACCCGAAGAGCAAAACGGAACAAGGGAAAATTGGTCACCGGCCCTTCCAGGGGAATATACGACGATTCGGCTATATGTAAGTAGTGCTTGGTTATCTTTCCACAGAGACTGGCGTGTGTGATCGTCTTACATAAGCTGGGTCTCTCAAAGCATCATCGGTTCTACCGAACTGATACACCGGTATTATGTAGATAGATAGATAGATAATTCATTTATTGCCAACATAACACACATAATACAATTTACAATAAGACACAAAACAAGAAATAAATAATAACATGGAAGTTGGCAATAGGAGCTGCCTCAGCGGTTATATAAGCACAACCTTAGTGAGGTGCACCTATACACGCTGGTTTTCAGGCATGTTATTACTCAAAAAAAAAAAACTAAGATGCGGGTTTTTTACTACATACAGATCATATAATTTAAACACAAAAAAAAATATATTAAATAAGATCTAGGATACACAAATATAAATATATATAGTATGAATTACAATATTCAATGCTCACAAAAACCGAAATCAGTTACAATAACAGTATCAAAATAAAAAAATAAAAAAAAATGTATTCACCTACTGTACTGGTACATACTTGAACTTTGGTCCTGCCTTTTAGAAACGTGTAATATTTATTACTCAACGTTATATAGATAAAGACAAGGCAATGACGATGTTATATTTGTATGTTAGTTGTTAAAATCAACTATTAGATTAATATTTTATTACAACGACGTCAAATCAGATGTTTTTCGTTTTTAAAACTAAGTACCTTTCAATAGTTTATTTGACAGACTCAATGAAATAGAGGCTTTACTTAAAATTCTCGTGGATTTGATTTCTTACACAGGACAAACATTTGTATTCAAATTCAAAATATCTTTATTCATGTAGGTCTATTACAGACTCTTATGATATGTCAAATCTACCGTCAGTTCGGAATGATATCGAGATGAGAAGAACTGACAAAAACTCAGCTCGTATTGTTTCGTATTCATTTCAAATAAATGTTGTACATGTTTACAATAATACACAGTTATGAAAATTCAAATTTTGGAGATATATGAGTATGATTGTTTGTGTCGGTTGGATGTTTTCTATGTGTATTATGTATGTATTTAAAGAAATATTTATGAGTTGTCTAGCAAATAACACAAGCTCTACTTAACTTGGGACTAGATGGTGCTGTGTAAATTTTCTAGGGTTATTTATTTTTATCAGTTGTCTAGTACCTATGGATACTAGACAACTGATAAAAATAAATACACATAAATACACAAGCTCTGCTTAGCTTGGGACTTGGGATGGCACTGTGTGCATTATCCAGGCTAGTACCCATAACACAAACTCTGCTTAGCTTGGGACTAGATGGCGCTGTGTTAATTGTCCAAGGAAAATATTATTATGACACTCAAATGGACTACTTTATATTGTATAAAAAATTGATTTTTTTCTTGCATTAACTTAAATATTTTAGGAAATTACCTCCCAAAGTTTTATATTTAAAGTCTAGTTCCTAAAATTTATTATATTTAAGTAAAAAGGGAGCGTTATGATTTTAATACTTATGAGTTTTTTTTGTTAATTATTTATGTTTTGTCATTTTTCCTTCTTTATGTTGATTACCATTTTGTTTGCTCCATATTTTTGTTAATTATATAATATTTTAGTAATTTAATTTAGTTTTATTTTATTATTTCTGTACTCACGTATAATTTGAACGTACATGAGCATTAAATAAATATTTTTTTTATCCTCTGTTTCTTTAATATTATGTTCAGACGTTCTTTAAATGTCTCTTTTATATTACTAGCTACTCGCCCGGGTGTACATGTATTATACATATAAACCTTCCTCTTGAATCACTCTATCCAAAAAATCCATTGCTGAGTTTTAAATATTAAGTATACATAGAGACGGACAGACAGCGCCAGCGACTTTGTTTTATACTATACTAGTTACTCGCCCGGCTTCGCACAGGTGTACATGTATTATACATATAAACCTTCCTCTTGAATCACTCTATCCAAAAAATCCATTGCTGAGTTTTAAAAATTTAAGCATAAACAGACAACTACTTTTTTTATACTATGTAAACGTATAATCCTCAATGGAATACATTATGTTAAATGTGAAGTGCAATTATTTTTACTTCTAAAATGTTACTACTATGGATGGATGATGAATGACTATAATAAATCCAAACGTGCTTTGAATATTCATATACATAGCCGTATAACAATGAGCAATTTGCCTTTTGACACTCAGTCATTTAAAAAAAATATTGTGTAATAGCTACTGAGTGACTATTTAAAAATTATAACGTATTTGGGTAATACGTAGCGTTGCCAGACGTCCCGTATTTTGAAATGTCCCGGCGGGACTCACTCTGTCCCGTATTCGAATCGTGCTCCGTTTTTTATTATTAAATCGATCGATCTACGCTAAACAATTTGTCTTCTGATAATTTGTCCCGGGTAAAAAACTAAATTCAAGTATTTTTTTGTCTATTTAAGCGTTTATCCCTTATAGGCTGAATAAAATCTGGCAACTCTAGTAATACGTAGTACCGCGCAATTCGCCCTTTGGCCACTCCAATATTTTAAAAATAATTTATATTTTTTTAAATAGCGGAGTATTAAAATAATTGTAATAGGATATTACAAATATTTACCCAATCCCCCTTGTTAGCTAAAGTTAGCAAAGCTTTTACCCCTCCCCTCATGGTAACGTAAACATTTTTCAATTAATGTATTGCTGTTTTAGCAAAGACAATGTGAGTGTTGCGATTCGTGTAAAAAGTAAATAACTGCCGATGACGTAGTCATCATCTAGACTCCCCTACCCCCATGTCATCCAAAATACGCAAAGTAAAGAATCACCCGCACAGTGCCTCCGAACGGTCCCTTTACAGGGTGAAACCCCGCACAGTGCTTACGTACCACTTTCCCCCCCCCCCGTACCTTATCTTATCTTCTTTGATTTACATTTTCATATTCTCTACTTCTTATCATTAATATTATATTTGTCTGTACAGTCAGTCATTTGGAATAGTAGTAGTATATCTATAAATTAACATTACCAATAGAATTTATGTCAAAATCTACCAATACCTTGACGGGTCCTAGTAGTGTACCTTGTGGCACTTCCCTTTGTGATGTTGCTATATTAGATGGAGATGTAATATTCACAATTCTTATGAATATTCTTATTGAACAAGTATGAATAATATAATAATAATAAATTTTATTTAATCTCCACAAATTACATAATTACAGTTTATTATATAAATGCCAACAATAAAAAATAACAAATAGAATTTGTGGGAAATCTAGAACCCAAACTATGCCATAGCCTGTACCTTAGACACCAGGTCTCCCCTTCATATAAATTTGTACATACAATACGTCTAGTATAGATATAGTTATAGACTTAAGTATTTTTTTTTAAACTGTTTTCGCAAAGGATAGTCTATCTCTTCCTAAATAGACAAATATATAAACAGAAATTTTTATTATTTATGATTTCAGCCACCAAAAGAACCAGAAAACTGGAAAGGGATATTTAATGCAGTTGATATATTCGGATGCTGCGCTCAAGCATTCTCCTTTATCCAAACTTATAATGAAGATTGCCTTCAACTAGACGTTTATACACCTGACCATGCTAAGGTCGGTGACAATTTCCCGGTTTTAATGTACATCCACGGAGGAGCTTACTACTACGGCAGCAAGGGTCACTACGATCCTGAATTCTTAGTCACTAAAAATGTAACGGCAGTTATAGTAAATTACCGACTTGGAGTGTTGGGTTTTTTATGTTTGAACGATGTCGCAAATCTTGGATTGAAGGACCAAGTAGCAGCTCTGAAATGGATAAAGAAAAACATTGCAGCGTTCGGTGGCGATCCGGACAACGTCACATTAATTGGACAAAGTGCAGGCGCCAGTTCGGCTGCTATGCATATGCTATCAGAGAAAAGCAAAGGATTGTTTCATAAAATAATTCTAATGAGTGGTAACTCTTTAAGTCCATGGGCTTTTAATTTAGAACCTACCAGACCAGCAGTTCAGGATGCCGAAAAACTAACGTCAACACCGATAACAGATAATAGTGAAGAAAACCTTTTCAACATATTCTTTAAGGCGTCTGTACCTGACATTTTAACTGCGACTGTTGGTACTTCAGACAATACTAGATATTTCAAGTACACTCCTTGTGTAGATAATAACTTCACTGATCCTTTCTTTCATGATACACCTTACAATATTATAAAATCTGGTGATTTCAATAAAGTACCAATTTTGGCTGGAGCTACAGATCTGGAGGGTTCACTGTTCTACGGACTTAATGATGCGAAATCATTGGAGGATTGGGAACAGAATTTTGTAGAGAGACTACCCTCGGTCTTCTCGTGGTGTTCAGAAGAAGATAAAGAAGTAATCTCTAACAAATTTCGATCTCATTACTTTGGGAAGAAAAGAGTGGATTCCTCTATAAATGGTGTAGTAAAATTCTATTCGGATTGGATTGCTGAGTCTACAACAGACGCCTTTTCTGATCTGATGACTGATTATTCTGAACAGCCAGTATATAATTATGTATTTTCGTATCAAGGGGGGAGGAATTTCGCAAAGGCTTTATTAGGACAAAGCGTGGAACTGAAAGGTGCTTCCCACTCAGATGACATTTTCTACGTGTTCAAGCCGGCAGGACTATCATTATTGCTGTCAAACTCTGATAAGCTGTTCATCGACCGGCTCACTGCAATGCTAACAAACTTTATGAAACACGGGTATGTTATTATGCTGACATTTCAAAGTTAAATCATACTAAAGTTATTTTCTGTATGTACATATCTATATTTTTATTTATGTGTATATTTTATTTACATTTATATTGCTAAATGTAGGATATTTTTTTTATATATATTATTAATATATATTTTAGAATTTTCTTTTAATGTGATGGCCAGGTGGTCAATGGGTTACTTCCGATGGTCGCGGGTTCGATTCCTCGGAAAGTACAAACACTTGTATTCATAAGTATGATCTTTTGTATCGGTCTGGGTGTTTTCTATGTATACTATATATGTATTTACAAAAAAATATCTGTGTATTTCTAACAGTTGTTTGTACCCATAACTAAGCTCTGCTTAGCTTGGGTCTAGCTCTGCTTGAATCGTCCTGAGATATTGTTATTATCTTGATAAAATAACTGTCGTTTCTTTATCTCCTAGAAATCCAACACCACGGCGCACCAAGTTGCTGCCAGTGATTTGGCCAGCGTCTACTGGCAGCGCGTCGTACGTGATGCACCTGGACCACAGACTGTCGGTGAGCAGGAACCCGCGACCAAGCTCCAGAGGATTCTTCCTGGATCTACTGTGCACATACGGACATAAGGGATACGTACCGTGCGACAGCAGCCAGCAGTGTAATGTAGAACAAAATAACAAAATATAGGGTAATTTTTAATATTAACAAGGCAACTTTATCCGCCTAGAAAAGTTATTTTTTTTTATAAAATAAAGTAGCCTAATATAATATTAGATATTCATATATTAAAAGTCTGGTCAAAATTGGTCTAGCCACTTCAGAGATTAGCAAGAAGAAACAGATGGACAGACAAAATGTTTAAAATTTAATATTTTTAATGTAAGTCCCTTATTTTTATGAGAGATTAGCAAGAAGACAGACAAAATGTTTAAAAAATAAATATATTTGATGTAAATACCGTATATATATTCCCTTATACGCATTTCGTAAAAAGCTGTTAATTTGAAATTACACAGATAAATCAATTTTATTTATTTGTATATATATATAATTTAATTAAATTTAATATAACTGTGATAAATAGATATAATGATAATAACAATAATATTCGTGGACAATTCAGACAGCGACATCTAATCTCAAATTAAACAGAGCTTGTGTTATGACAACTGAATAATTTAATTAGATTTTTTTGTCAATACATAATATATGTATAGGTGTTTACTATACACAAAACACTTATACAATACAAAACAACGTATGAATACAAATATTTGTACCGTGCGAAGATCGAACCCGCAACCATCGGAAGTGAAGCGGTGTGTTAAACCACTACACCACTGAGGCTGTCAAAATTGATAATAATTCTAGGTAACGCAAACGAATACATCAAATATTGTAATTTAACGTTTGTGTGTTAAATATAGTGTGTGATAAAGACAAGCAACACAGAGACTTTGTTATACTATTTATATTACACTAAACTAGTTGTTATATAGTTTATATTATACTAAATTAGTGTTAACACTAAATGTACAAATCTTATGACAATATTGGTATTTAACTAATAATTTAGGTGTTGTTTATTTTATCTCACATTAAATAACAAGACGAATAGGATTACTGGGTGTTGTTTATTTTATCTCGTATTAAATAACAAGATTAATGTTAAGTTTAAATACATTTAACGCATATTAAGAAGTGTTATTATAGAAGTCAAATTCAAAATATCTTTATTCATGTAGGTCTTACAGACTCTTATGATATTTCAAATCTACCGTCAGTACGGAGTGATTTCGAGATCAGAAGAACTGACAAGAAACTCATTATATATTGGAATTATAACAATAGAACAAGTATATATTGGAATTGCCCTTAAATAAATTCAAAACAATTGTTAAATCTTATTTACTGAGCAAAGCCTATTACTCACAAAACGATTACTTGAATGACGAGCGTGCATGCCAATAGTTGTTCATGCACGGGATTTTCATTTAATGTTAGACATAGACACCTATATAAATACCTATACATTGTAAATAAACTGGCTTTTAAAAAAAAAAGTAACACAATTGAGTTTCTTGCCAGTTCTTCTCAATTGGATATATATACCGAACTGGACGGTAGGGAAAAAAATTATAATGTAAAAACCTGACGTTCATAAGCGGCTAAAATGTTCTACATGAATAAATGATTTTTTAATTTGAATTTGAATATCCTCAGAACATAAAAAAATTTAAATAAATTAATACATATTATTAGAACTAATATAAATTTAGAATAAATAAAAATTCTTGCTTTTCAAATAAGAACAATTGTTCAAAATTTCTACACTAAATACACCTGGGTGTTATTTTTTATTTATGGTATTTTTACAGTAGCTATGTGAATTTGATATTATGGTGGTATTAAGGGTATGTATCATAAATTACCATAATAATTACGGAGCTAACACGGAGGATAATCAATGTCCATTAAAAAAAACGTAAAAGAATCATCAAAATCAGTGCTGTATTGGAGAAATAAATTCATGTAATTTGTATACCCTTTATACACAAACCAAATAAATAATGTAAAATACTATAATAATGATTACGGATTATAGTCACTTAAATTCTAATTATTCTAAAGAAAAGGGACAAAACAGTTTTATAGAAAAGGGACAAAAACCTGTTAAAGTTTTATAGCTAAAATAGCTTAGCGTTTAGTGATTTCATAAATATAGGCGTTAAACTTTAAAATAGTCTTTCAAGTGCTTAACAAAAGCACCAATAACCGTTATTCCAAAGCCGTACAGATAAAATAAAAGTATCGTTACAATTTCCTCCCAACAAAACCCCAGTTATATCTCCCTTCAGAAACAATAACTCGGGATCTGAGTGGATCGGGAGCTTCACGCGAAATGAAATAAACTATAAATCTACAAACATGCTCGAGGGGCCCGACTGAGAGGCTCCGCAAACATTCCGCGCAAGATTTATAAATATGCAGATCAAATAGAAGAGATACCAGATGATTCCTGTACACAGCAAGCGGGGCCAGTACACAAATACGCCATTTATGTCTCAGGAAATCTTTACATAATACCTTAAGGACTTAATTTTATAATCCATTTTCATAGATTTAAAAAAAAAAACATAGCATACATTTACCGACGACCTCGATGGTCTTCTCGCACAGCACAAACATTTGTATTCATGAGTATGATTGTTTGTATCGGTCTGGGTGTTTTCTATGTATAATATGTATGTATTTACGAAAAAAATTATCTATGTATTTGTATCAGTTATCTAGTACCCATAACACAAGCTTTAGTTAGCTTAACTTGGGTCTAGATGTCGCTGTGTGAATTGTCCTAAGATTATTATTATTATTTATTTAAATATGTGAATATTTTTATTCAAACATACACTAAAACTAATATGCTGTGATACTAAGTTCCTAAAATAAATAAAGAGGAAAAAAACGAGCACCAGCCAAGTTTCTTGTAAGCTGTACGTTCTAAGAATCTTTGCCTTTTCCATCATTGAAAAGGAGATGGACGAATATATATAATATCTTCTGGGTAAGCGCGCTACATCCTACATCCCATCCTCCTTACCATCATTTACCATCCGATGAGGTAAGACCAAGCGCAAACCCATTATTAATTAAAAAAATATGGGATTTTTTTTCTTGTCCATTGTCTATTCTTATTCGCTAATCTGTAAAACCAATGTGGCGGTATATTAAAAAATTAATTAATTTTCTTATTCTATGTCGAAAAATACGTGAAAATAAAAAATTTAAACCTAGTCTAAATTATGTAACATTATGTTATCTGTGTCTGAACTAACCTTACCATCAGATGAGTTGCCCCCTCCGATAGATCTCTCGTCCAATTCGAACGGGGATCGAAATTACGACGGCCTGAGCCGAGGTTCGAACCCCTAGCGGTGCCCTCAGACTAAAGTCGTATCCGTCAGGCAGGAGTTGGCCTTCAACCGCTCCATAAGTCCTTCTGCGGGTTTGGAGTGCCATCTGCACTCGCTCCCTAACGTCCGGTGAAGCTGTAAAGGCCAGCTGCGGCCAACAGCATTAGAGTAGTCCGAAAAAAAAAGATAAGTTGTATGCTTGTTTGCCACCATCGTAGTATAAATTAGGGTAAAATTTTTACAAACTTTGAATGTCTTTTTTTTTTATTTAACAGTTTAAAAATAAGTAGAATTAATCAAAATCCTTTCTTAGCGGATGCCTACGTCATAACATCTACCTGCATGGATGTATTATACATATAAAACTTTAGTAGTTTTACACTCTAGAATTATTCTATCTATTAAAAAAATCCGCTTCAAAATCCAAATCTCAGCCCGCTCCGTTTCATGGTTTGGGCTGTGCGTTGATAGATCACTATGTCAGTCAGTCAGTCACCTTTGAGTTATATATATTTAGATAAGTATTGTACAATAATGCAATATTACAAACAAACAGTAATTCCTATTGTCTAAGCAATAATAGACTATATATACCGAATTCAAACCAATCGCTCTACTAAAAAAATATAGCAACAAATAGTAGAGATGTGCTAACTCGTAATTAACATGACTCGAGTTAACTCGAGTTGACTCAAGTTATCTGGAATAAAAAGTTTTTTTTTATTTTTTCGAACAATTCTAAAGTTTTTGGGCGCAGCTAGCCTTGAAAGCTTCACCTAACTATAGGGGGCGAGTAGAAATGGCACTTTGAAGCCGCGGAAGGACTTATGGAACGCATAATCTTTTTAAATGATAACATAATCGGACGAATATGCGAAAAAAAAATTATAACAACCTCAAATCAATATTGAAATATTTGTGACGAGTGAAAATTGTATGATATGAAATGATCGGAAAATTTCATGTCATTGTTGATTCGATGACAGACTCATGCTCTCGGTCTTTCACTTGATGCATTCATTTACCAGTTGAATTCTTCCAACTCGAGTTGGCAAAATTCAACTCGAGTTAACTCAAGTTGATGCATCTCTAACAAATCGCCGAGTCCCATCCGTCGCATACGAGAGATGGCAGCCGCTGTGCAGTGCGCCGTCACAAAATAAATATTAAATGTTTTGATTCAATTTCTCGCGGCTCCCTAGCACTCCGGACCTCAGATCTATGCCCTGTTGAAACACAGATACTCTCTAATACTGCAATAATACAGCACAGCTCTATATTGACATCTACAGATATAAATAAAATTGGAGTGTCTGTTTGTAATATTGAAATAACCGTTTTTACTACATGCATATGAATATAAATACGGTACATACATGAAAATAACATTTTTTACAATATTTGTCTGTCTGTCTGCTTGTTCGGGGTAATCTCTGAAATGGCTGGACCGATTTTGACGGGACTTTTTTGGTAGGTAGCTGATGTGATAAGGAGTAACTTAACATAAAGACTTATGACACCTACTGCACTGTGCTAGCTGTGCTGTTATGTTGTTGACAAAAATTTACTGTAATGTTACTATTCTGTTATCCTACACAATTTGTATTGTTTTGGATGAATAAATAAATAAACTTAGGCTACTTTTATATTACAAAAATAAAATAAAATTCCACGCGAACAAAGTCGCAAGTACAGCTAGCTGGAACTAATATTTCACGTAAACGAATAGTTGTTACGTATAATTCAGTCCTAAAACTATTTCCATGAAATTTAAACTTGGTTTCTAGTTATTTAAATAGTTGTAGATTTGACAGCCTCGGTGGTCTAGTGGTTACGGTCTAGCGATTTACATCCGTTGGTCGCGGGTTTGATACCTCGCACGGAGCAAACATTTGTATTTATGAGTATGATTGTTTGTATCGGTCTGGGTGTTTTCTATGTATATTATGTATGTATTTACAAGTATCTAAAGTAGTTATATGAGTTGTTTTATACCCATAACTACGGGAGTATCCCCGAAACTATGGGATATCCGATTTAAAAAATATCCGTAACCGTAACCGAATCCGAAATAAATGTTTCGGATAATATCGGATAGGGTCGAAGCCTAATTGAGACGCGTTATGTAACCGTTTTTTTAGCTATTTGTAT